AACCAGTTTGATGAAAATATTTCAAATTGTATATAAAACCAGCACATTGTACCCCATGATTGCATTAATGTACACAGCTATGATTTAATAATAAATAAATATTCTTAAAAAACTTGAAGACCTTTTGAAGAGTCCATGAAATGCACAACAATAACCACAAGGTGTAAGGGAAGGGAGATAAAAACCTCTAACCAGACAGAACCGTCAACGTTTAGTATGAAGTAAAGAGAGAATTCCTACTTTGAGTAACTTTTCAGCTCTTCTGAGGCATCATCCACCATGTGGCTCTCCTCAGCTTCGTGGGCCATGGCTCGGTAGAGGGTACAAGCAATCACGGCCTTCGCCGTGGCCTCCTCTCCATGCTGCCAGAAGAACATGGCCATCTTCTGCCTTTTCATCAGCACAGCCCAGACCAGCAGGTCGTTGTAAGGGTAAATAAAACCAGTATATTCGGGGTCGCCTGCTATATTCTGTCCTCCTTCTGACTTCTTCCTGGATTTCTGAAGAACTACAGGCATTTCCTGCTGGAAAATAAAACAGGACTGAGTTTTCAAATACCAGATGCATAATGTTTTATCTCATGCAACACAGCAGTATCCTATTTTTCAAATCACTACTAAAAAAGACATGGAAATAGCAATAGGAATTTATACCGGCATGCAAACTGTAGACATTTTATGATGATTGATTTCTTGTTGCATTTAACAGACCCAGAGTCCCTGAGCTGAGATACCTTCTGTTCATTTAGTGTATCTTAAAGCAAAACCCACCTCTGGCGTAGCCCTAGTAATTATGTAACAACTTTCATTCTCTAAGGAAATGGAGATTATAAAGGAAAAAAAAAAACAATCTGACCATAGCAAATAGATGGATTTTCTTCCCCTTGGTGAAATGTTACTAGTACAGCCAAAATTCACCCAAGGAGATTGGCTTTAAGTTTCCTTTCCTTTATTCTATTTCCCCCGATAGTAACACCCGGTAAAGCCACCCTCTGTAGCTCATCTCAAAGGCTCCTCAACTCCCCCCTCAGCTCTGCATCACTTTATATGTCCCGATTTCGTGCTCATCGTACTGTGCTGTGGCATTACTCTGAGGAAGGTGGGACCACTTCTCCGTCACCATTACATCTCCCCCTGCCCATCCACCTCTCAAACTCTTGCACTCAGTATAATGCCTGGAAAATAATAAAGACTCGGGAATTCTTCGTTTTAGCTTCAGGTGTCATAGCAACAAATTGTAATTCATTTCCTCCATTTCTGTAATTAAGGAAACTGGTGTTCATTGATGACGCCCAAGGGTGATTTTATAAAGTACCTTTCCTCCAAGAAGCTATGGAAAGCAAACCGCTTTCAGCCAATGTAGTAACTTACATGGCACGTTTGGAGCAAAAGCATTCACTTATCCATTTCTCCCCAGAGGGAAGTGTGGGACTGGGGGAGCCGGGGAAAGGGGGATCACAAGGCTGCACACATGCACATGCGTGCATCACGTCACACACACAGCATCACGTCACACACACGCATCACGTCACACACACGCATCACGTCACACACAGCATCACGTCACACACACGCATCACGTCACACACGCAACATCACGTCACACACATGCATCACGTCACACACACACAGCATCACATCACACACACAGCATCACGTCACACACACGCATCACGTCACACACACGCATCATGTCACACACACATGCATCACATGACACACATGTAGCATCACATCACACACACGCATCACGTGACACACACACAGCATCATGACACACACACGCATCATGTCACACACGCGCATCACGTCACACACATGCATCATGTCACACACACGCATCACATGACACGCAGCATCACGTCACACACACGCATCATGTCACACACACATGTATTGTTAGGCCACAAGGCAGTAAGGAGGTCCTAAAACAAAGAAAACATTATACCCGCATATCAGACTCTTGCACCTGGAGGCAACACCCTACCCTCTCCCTACTCCCTCATACCCGCGCTAAAAATAACCGTCGCAAAAAAATCCCCAGAGCAAAACTGCCCAGCAACCCT